CCTATGTTTGCTGCATTACGAATGTACAAGTATTACTATGAAGCAAAATGAAGACAACAAGCACTTGTCTTTTCAGAACGATTTGCACCAATTCACCTCACTGCAAATAGATGCAGTTGCAAATTAGGCAGGAAAGACAAGATCCGACAGATCACATCTTGTGTGTCTTAAATACAACTGCGTCCTTTTGCACTGCGGCGAAGCACATTAACAACTCGACCAACTATTCAGTGATTTGCTGTGCTGCATACATGTACCAAGCGTATTAGGTGTCGAGTCAAGCGACTGCATCGTCGACTACAGAAGCAATAGTACACTGAGGTGATCAATATCAACAATACTGTAACTTTCACAAGAATAGCATCTGCTGTGTCGGCACATATCAAGCAGCAATTTTTCTCGTATGCTGGGTTAGCCCGCTTGGCTCAGCGCCAGGACTGTGGTGTCCATAGACACCACAATGGTGCAGCGCGAGTCCCACAAAATTTCTCATAAGTGCAAGTATTATCGAGAGCAATCACCTGAGAATACTACCCCACCAAGAAGAACACTAAAGAAAAAAAAGTCATTTGAAGGGATCTGCCAGTCCTTCAAACCAGGCGACCTTGTCGAGAACAAGTGTTGCACACACCAACTGCTCGTTGTGATTGTTCCTGAGGTCCCAGACGTAGATGGTGCCACTCTGGTCGCCGACAAAGAGCTCGCACTGGTTCGGGTGCAGGCAGGCGCAGTTGACCGGCGCGTTGGTCTCGAACACCCGCTGGCATGTCTGCGCCCTCGCTCTGAAGCGGACGGAGACACGACAGAAGAGCCATTGGTGATTGCCAGGGTGGATAAAGGGTCAACTTGTCGGCTAGTTGGTTGAAGATTTTGTAGGGAAACAGCGCGAAAGACCAGGTCTGTAAAGGCACACAAAAAACCACACAGGGCTATGCGAGGTTGTTTAAGTGCCTTTGCTGTCCAGGTCTCTTGTGCCGTTTCCCTACAGGGTGGACAAAACTTGATCAAGAACACATGTGGCTCCATGGAACATCTTTGTTGCACAGCAATAATCATGAGCTGCTTTCCTTACTTTGTCACCACATTGCCCACTACATTTAAGTCAGGGTGGAGAGTCTGCTACCACCATGTCAAAGCATTCTTGACAGGAAAAGGGGAAGGGTGAGAGCCAAGTTTTTGAGAAAGAAAACACAAGCAAGCCAAACGACGACTGTTATGAAACGAGAAACAGGCCTGAAAGATTGCAAGCATTGTTAAAGGGGCCCTGTAACACTTTTTTAAGAAGGCACAGATTGGATTCACTAAAGGACCTTATTGCCTCACAAATTCATCGCCACAAAAATTTTGAGAATCCCTCTAATACGAGCAGAGTTAGAAAGATTTGTCACCTGCTGCAATCACATTCTCTCTCCTCTTGTCCCGGCAAAAGCGCTGGATGCTAAGCACGCAGGGATGACATAAGGAAAATAAAATAAGTCACGCGCGGCTTGTGGCCTCGAGCACTTTTTCTCTTTTTTTAGCTGCCTTTGAGAATTTATTGTGATTTCCAGGCCACGAGCTGCACTATAGTATTTGGCTCACGTGTTTTCAAAAGCCCCTACTACCGATCGGTAACATTTGCTGACCATGCTCTAAATGTGTTGCAGGGCCCCTTTAAAAACTATCAAGACAACATACTGCAGTACTGCTTGAACAAGCACACCGCTCAGCACTGACAATTGCAGACACAGAAATCTTCCTAATCAAATGCCAGCAGCATTTGCGCTCAACGAGGCAACACTGCTGCATGTCTTATTGTCACCTTGAGTCCCAGATGCGAGCGGAGAAATCTTCGCCGCCTGAGTACATCCACAGGCCATCTTCGTGGAAGCCCAGAGCAGTGACGTTTTTGCCGAGACCCTCATAGTTGATGACGGGGTTCGTGTTTGTCGAGTTGATGTCGTAAGTGCGGATGTGCTGGTAGCCTAGAAGTGCCGCACAAAGGAAGTTGGCTTGTAGCGACACATCCGCTAACATTGCACCCTGTCTAATTACGTCTAAAAACACTTTAAAAAACTTAACCTAAATTGATTTCACAGCCATACTGTGTGAATGTGTTATTTTATTTGTAAATTGATGTGCGTTCTTTTTCTCAAGCTTATTGAAAGTCTTAATCAATAAGCTTTGTGTATTTGATTCAATGCTAGTACCATATAGTTATATCACAATTAAAAAGGTTACTTGACTAGGAATGCCTACAAGTACTGACCTGGCATTCTTCCATTAATAATTATGACACAGCGCCATGAAGTGGGACAAAATCACGGGGACACACATGATGCACAGGCGCCGAGCTACAAGTGTGTTCCTGCATGATTTTGTCTGACCTGGTCGGCACAGAAAGATGCGCTAGCATTGCATCTCACCACCCTTTTAATTGAGTTCAACGCCATAGTGGCGTTTCTCCGCGGCTAGAGCGGCTGATAACCCACGGCAGCAACCCCGCCTTAGTTATAGGCGTTTTCACTTGCTGCTTGGGGTTCTGCGATTTTTTTCTTTCTCCATCGCGCGTCTACTTTGGTGCGGACTACAGACGCGAACGTGACGGATAGCAAGTGTAAGGGTCACAGCGACAACATGGTGGTGCGGCAGGAGTTGGAAACAGACACAATGTGAAGGCCGTAAGACTGAACGTTCCTTTCCAGTCCGGCCGTGGTCTTACTTGGTGGAGCTGTACTGTAATTATGAATACATACCAATTAGCCCAATTGTCAGTTCTACTATAAGTTCTTTCATTCCTCACTCTTTGGTTATACAAACTACATGAAGCCAACAGGTAATTAACCCAAGGAAGGGGCAGGGGGTCCTGTTTGTAGTTTCTAATTGACTTCAAGTAGGTAATCACGAGGTAAGAGAGAAGTGTAGTGGAGAAAGCAACAACTTGCTGTTGACGGGAAATGAACTTCTTTCTTTTGCTTACGGCACACTACCATTCTGCGGTGGTGGTCTTTTCTCTATCTGTTCTTTTGGTAATTTTATGCTGTGCACGTAAGCCTTGAAGCATTATTTATTTCTGAATGTGTGGCCTCGAAACTTGCAAGCATGGTGACAAACAAAAGGCCCTATGTTTTCCTTTATTTCACAACAAGTTGGCTTCATGTGGTTTCATCTAACAACTGAAAAAATAAAATAAAAGAGGCACCTTAATTAACTCTTCTTTCACTCACTCTTAGGTTTCTTATTGTTTTTTTTACCATGTCAATGTCGACAGAAGTCTGTCTGGTTGAGATGAAACGTACTAATATAAGAGATCTGAACACCTACCACAAAGAAGGGATCTGAACACATGGTTTGTGTCTAGGTACCTATTCTCAGCGTTTCATTGTCAGTCATTTTCTAAGCAACTGAACTGCCTAACACCTAATGCCCGTGGGCTCTAAAAGAAAAAATGAATGAAGTGAAACATAAAATTTCAATGAGTTAACAAGCGAACCAAATTTTCAGGTAGTAGTAATCGACATATGTGAGCCCCATGCACTCATAACATTGGGAGCATGAAACACTACGGACTAATCAGAGGCATTTAGCTTGACAACTAGAGTACCAAATTGTTAAGAGATGTGTATTTCGAGCTTAAATTGTCTAATGTACGAATGCATAGATGCTGTTAGATTAGATTAGCACCCAGAAAAAATTTTCGACTAGACTACTCGACAGTATGCTGCAGCCAGTAAAAAAGCACGCGATTGATCGGCGACGAACTAACTGAGCTGGTTTTGATTCAAGTTCTCAAGGCATACGATGTCACAATGCACCCATGAAACTTGTGGTGTGAACGGAATGAGAAAAAAAAAATTATTGATAAACCAAAATGCATCTTTGATTAAAAATTAGCATGAGTGCCTTCACTTTGCTGGTGTCAAGAATACAAGAGGGAAAGTGCGTTACATAAACTCACCTCCGGCGGCTATGTGCTGGCGATCAGGGGTGATTTCAAGCACGTTCACTTGCTGAGTGTGCGAGCTGAGGTCACAGAACGACAAATACATCGTATACAAAGCCGTGCGCTCGTTGCTAGTGGGAACAAGCTGGCGAACCAATTTTTAGACAGGAATGCTCACTAGAGAGAATTGGAGAGGTTTGCCTTGAGGTTTTTCTGGAGTGCTACTCCACATTGAAACAGTGAGAAATAGAGTGGTCAGAGTGCGCGACAGATACAAGCACAGAACGGGCCACAATTCTAAACACACTAAAACATTTTGATAAGGCAAGTGTCCTAAAGGATGTCCAACAGTGATTTCGCGAAGTGACATGCACAGGCGATGTGTGTCCATGGGCCAATAACTTTAGCTCAAGAAACATCGCTGGTGAACATTCAGTTTGGACGCATATTGAAAAATTTATGTCTCGATGAAGTGGCCTACAAAGGCTAATCGGGCCCATAACGGGTTTTACGAACATCGGAGGCGGTGCATAGGCAATGTTATTCGCTTCGATTTTACAGAGGCGGCGATGTTTGGCCGAATTCCGTGTAATGAGCCATTACTTATCGCGCCTAGTGAGGCTACATTACAAAAAAATTCTTACGAATTTCATGAGACCACTTTGTCACAAAGATCGCGACCCAGGTATGTCAAAAAGCGTGAAAAGGATACGGAGTCGGCGTGCTGGAGCGTCCGCTGGCACAATCCACTGTGCGCTTGCCAAAGACGAATACTGTGGTCGTAGCCACCCGTCGCCAGGATAACCTGATCGCCCGCACCATCCGCAACCATGTCTTTCATTACTACCTACCACTTATACCATAATCACAACAATAGAGAACGAATGATACGATTCACGGCCAACATCAACCAAGTTTCACGCGTTTTTCGTCTGCCTTCGCCGAAACAACAACGCCACCGCAGCGAATGTAAAGCGACTCTCTGATTGGTCACAAACAGCTTAATATTGCTAGTACCGCAGTCAAGTTTTTTTTATTTTCCGATTGGCCGGATTCACTTGTTTTGCTCCATCGCAGGATTCGGAAGGAATGGCAGACGGCTTTAGCGGCGTGTTGAGGATTACGGATTTAAATGACTTTATCGGGCCTTCTCAGGTGAGTGTCACTGCGCGCTGAGTGCAGTTTTGAAGCCTCCGATGCCGGGACTAAGCGGCTGCAATAATTCTAGTGTGGCAATGTGAATTGAAGTGAACTTCGATTTTCCAGAAAACGCGAACGTCGCGAAAGTTCCACTTCTGCCGAGGATGTTTTCTGTAACTTTTCGAGACCTTCATTTCGTTTTACAGGAGTGTATCAAGCCGGTGACGGTGGAGAAACGAACCGGAAGACTCGGGTCTATAAGAATCGGCGACGATGGCTCCTATCTTCAAGTCGACGAGGTGAGACTAGCGGGCATTTCGCAACGATGCGTCAGGCGCGCGTCGCACGGGGCCACTTTCAATCGCAATTCAACCCGGTCCGCCGATGTGGACCGTATTTCCCGGCCGTGATTGGCTGACTTGTGCAGACCGCGGAAATGTGCAAATCGCCAAGCTAGATTTTCCTGGATTAGTTCCTCTACGGCAATTGGTTACTCTCCGCTGCTTGTGCAAATAATTAACCAATCGCAAGCGAGAACTCTGGCTCGATCGGGATTGGATTTTCCGACGGCAATTGGCTCCCTTCCGCATCTCGCTCAAATGAGCCAATTACGATCAAGAAACTCGATTTCGATCGTGCTCGATTGCGAACGAAACGGCACGTACCAAGTGGCGTGCCACCCGACTTACACAACAATACATAAGGATGAGGAAAGTGATCGTTGTGTTTTTTTTTTTATCGTGCAGTCTGGCCAGGCATCTAAGCTGCAAAAGGCGCAGATAACGCTCACGGACTGCCTGGCGTGCAGTGGTTGCGTGACATCGGCGGAAACTGTGCTCATCACCCAACAGAGCTCCGAGCAGCTTTACGCCGTGCTCAAGGAAAACGCAGAACTGGTGAGGACACTTTCAGAGCGACCCTGTATTCATCTCTTGTCACAGGTGGGACTGAGGCATTAGAAGAGTACTGAGGTTGAGAAAAACAACAAAGCTTTGAGAAAGGTTAAAAGCAGAGCGGTGCATCAGGTCAGCCTAATTGACTTTTCCGCATGAACCGAGAACTGTGTGTGCACATTATGAGGAATTATGATATGACACTTGCTAATTTTACAGTTTTGAAGAAGCAGAGGCGTTCGAAAATGCATTTTCAAGTACGTGTAGTTGCTTCACGAACAAGCGCAAGTCTCTCTTACGCGTTTGTTGTGTGTGTTAACTTGTGCTGCTTTTGTGCGAAAATTCGGGTAACCACTAGCTTCACTCAAGAAAGTTATCAAGCTCTCAGTCGATTAAAGAGCTTTATTAAAATCTAGATAGGAAAATATACATGTAATATTTGAAAAACTTCAATCAATTGATGTATGTGCATTGGTGAGATTGAATTGATGATGTTCGATTTTACCATAATTTCAAACAAATAAAGGTGTGCAATCTTTCTAAACATTGTCTTAAATTTTGAAGTTCCCTTACAATTGTTATTTAGTGATGTGCAGTGACATCGTCAAGACATGCATCATAGTTCTGAAAGCTATAACACTAAGATATTAAAAGACCGGGGATATCACATGAAATTTATTATTTTTTTTGTGTGTGTGCATGGAGGGGGTTTGTTTATGCCCATGCTTGCATTTGTGTGTGTGCAAATAAGCATCCAAAATTGAAAATTATCGGAGTAGGGAGGGTGTTGAAGAACGTTGCCAACCCCTTCTTGCTACGCCAATGTACGATACCTACAAAAAGAAAAGATAATCTTGCTCCTCATATGCTTAAGCAGCTACAGATATTGTAAGCAGAGTACATATGGGTAGATTGTGACATAAACTCATTAGACACTTCTGTAGAACCATCATCGTATGTGTACATATGCAGTCACTTGTGTATGCACACAAAACTCATCTTGTTTCCTTGTAGAAGTTGTGGCTTGGCATTGTTCTAAATTGCTGAGCGCTCTTAAATTACGTTGTTCTGATATAACCTCCAAGTGCTAATTTCACACAAGCTTTTTTTTTTCTCCCTGTAGTTGCTTGCAATGTAGTATGTTTTGTTAAATAGCGTGAGTGATGTGCATAATGATTGATTCTTTATAGCCTGAAGAAAAACGCAAGCTCATCGTCGTCACCGTAGCCCCCCAGGTGGCGGCCTCATTTGCTGGGAAGTACGGCGTCGACTACGAGAGCGCTTCGGCGAAGTTGACGGGATTTTTCAAGGCGTTAGGTGTGTCTGAGTTGCTGCTTTAGTCTTAAATATTGTGAAAAGCTAGGCCTGTTTTTACAGCGAGGTTGTTGATTTTTTCGTTTATCCGTGTGACTTGTCCAGAAAACTTTGCCTGCACAATGGCAGACAAATGGGAAGAGAGAGAAAGAAAGCATTGCAAGTTTTGTATAGTACAGCAGTAGGGTGGCAAAGGGAAGTAAGGTTGAGAAGGAAAAGACGATGGGAGAGAATGAAACATAGCACAGCCTTGCATAGTATCGTTTAGGAAGGGGCGGGAAAGGAGAATGTCAGTATCTCTGCGGTTTCTTTACTCTTTGCGACACAAATGCGTAGCTGCCCCAGTTTCTTAAATGGAATTAAGTGCGTTGTTTCAGCAACACGCTTGATTCAAGAAGTGCGCAGAAAAGTACTCGTACAGCTAGCAGTGACAAACAGCCGAGCATTAGCATAGCCAGAAACGTTTTTCAAGGGTGAAGGGTTTCAATCATCCTTTACGTATGTTTGTGTGTGCATTTGTACCTGTGCATGTATATATACATGTGCAAAACTAAGACAGTTCCGGGGGTTTCTAATAGAACTCTTACACCTTTGATTAACAGAGGCTGAGTGACTGACAAACTGCTGATTTGCAAGCAGTGACGGTCATGAGTGTGCACGGGTTTCCCCTTCAGGAAACGCCCCCCCCCCCCTCCCTATCACGCCAATGTATGGGGTTGGCTTTGCAACCTTCCTCCCCCTCCCACTTGCCCACCCACTCCCCACATGGAGGCGGAAATGTTGTAGGCCCGTGTGCTCAGATTTGGGTGCACGTTAAAGAACCCCAGGTGGTCAAAATTTCCGGAGTCCTCCACTACGGCGTCTCTCATAATCATATGGTGGTTCTGGGATGTTAAACCCCACATATCAATCAATCAACCCACTCCCCACCCGTACACACGCCCATGGTGACCGACAGAAATTGATATTTCTGGTAAAAGAACGCGGCACGAGGACATAGAGAAGTCTAGATGCAAGAACCGCTTGTTTTGTTGAAGTTTTCTGCGTATGTTTGTGCTCCTATACCATATGTCTGAGGCGTATGGCACAGCTCTTCAATCTTCTGTGGTCCGGTGCTCCAGACCGGCAAGCACAACTTGCCCCGCCTGTTGTTGTGCCAAAGTGCCCTGTAATTGGTCGCATTCTCAGCTGCTTGAATTGACATCGTAATGCAAAACAAGCGTCTGTGCCTACAAATGTCCCGCAGCATTTATTGCTTCAGCAGCTTTGTGACTGCTGATAAGCGAATAAAAAAATCTGGTGGTTATCGACTGGCCCAAGACATTTGCATTTGCACCAATGAGACCAAGGCATCCAACAAGCCGAAGGAACCATTTGGACACCAGCCGTAAAAATGAGTAATTGAAAGGGCTTCTGTTCAAAACGTCCACTCCCTCTTACAAGTAAGTCTGTCAAACTCGGGGGTTTTAAGGTGGCCTCTTGTGACTGGTCATTTCTCAACTCTCACTAGCACTGTAAGTCACCGGTGCAAACGAAACCTAACAAGTGTTCTTTCTTCCACTGCAGGGGCGCACTACGTCTTGGACTCAACGTTTGGCCGCGAGTTTGCGCTCGTTGAGGTGCTTCGGGATTTCATCGAGCGGTGGGCGCGAAAGGACGGTGACCGAACTGCCTTGCCTCTCTTGGCGTCGTCGTGTCCAGGTGGGGTGATCAGAATGAAATATACTGCAGAAGCGTAGGCACTGATTGAGTCAGTATGGTTCCATTTGGATACTTTGCTAGCGCAGCACTAAAAAAAGACAAAGAAAGAATGTGTGTGGACAAGCTCATTCTCACAACCGAAGCGTTACATAAACGAAGCACATAAATAAAAAAGTACATCATGTGAATGCCAAAGACGATACCTAACAGACAGTAACCACAACAAACCATAAGTCACCAAGCTAGTAATCTGTGCATCAGTGTTCCATCTATTCCGCTTTCACTCAAAAAGACACCTTTTTTCTTTTTGAGCATCCTGAGTTTTTTATCAGTAATATATGTTTCTGCCGTTTCAACCTGCACCTTATACGCACTTTGTTGATAGTTATTTCAATTTTGCAGTTTACGTGGAGCAATATGAGCCAGTAATGGCTCAGAACCATAAAAGTTTAGTGGCAGGAAAAGTATGTCCAAAAAGAGCTATACTTTACACATTGTCATAGCATAAAAACTGTGCACCTTACTTTAAAACTAATTACACATTTGCAAAGTCTGTATATACAGCAAAAGTTTATTGCCTTAGGCTACAGATTAACGGAATCATTTTTTTAATTGAATCTCCCTTTAAGCCTTGTAAATTGAGTGAAGTAATTTCAAGACTATAGTAGTTTCTCCTGCTATGATTTTTTAATATGATTAACCCACAAGGCTTTATTAAGATTGGAAAAGACCAATGCTTTGAGCGATTCTCTTCAAAACCTAATTGAGGTAGGTGTCCACTGCTGTGCTGCACTTCAACACAAACTGCACTGTTTGTCCAGGATTCGTTTGCTACGCTGAGAAGACTCACGGTGATGTACTGCTGCCACACATCAGCCGAACCCGTTCACCACAGCAGATCATGGGCTCTCTGGTCAAGAAGTTTCTGGCTGGCAGGCTGGGAAAAAAGCCTGACCAGGTGAGTGAACAGGGCGTGGCTGTCGAGCATCTCATCGGCATTGTACCAACGAGTGCTTACCTTCGGTGAATAAATATGGAGGCTTACATAGAAGATTCGACCCTAATTGAGGACGACACAGAGAGCTATGGTAAAGAAAATGAGAGGTGTAGTCTTAAGAGCCTGGAAGATCACAGAGTAGGTTATGGAACAAACCGGGGTTAAGGATATCAAAGTTTAAATCAAGAAGAACTAATTGACATGGGCCGGGCACGTAGTGCATAGGCAAGATAGCCTCTTGTCACTTAGTGTAACTGACGTAATTATGAAGATGTGATTATGAAGTTTTTGGGTATAACCTGGCAACAACAAGCACAGGACCATGTTGATTAGTGGAAGTTAGGAGATGCCTTTGTCCTGCAGTGGGCGAAGTCAGGATGGTGATGATCTCGCCAACAGTCTGTAGAAAGCGATGCCATAAAAAGGACTTTGGAGATTTGCCGCCATGTCAAGGGTGGTGCCAAGGAGGATTAAAATAATTGCTGGAGTGAAAACGATTGCCCAGGAGTGAAGCCGTGCCTATGGCAAGATGGCGGCTGCGGCGCCCTTCTTACTAGGGATATGATAAAGTAACATCGTTCAGGGATTAAGAACGTAGCATTTCCTTTGCACGCCCAACGAGTTTAATGTGGAAACTTTTTTCGGGTCACATAGCGCTCTAAGTGCGTCTTAGTATTACTACTTTTCCTCAGTAAGCCTCTAATGGAAAGCAAAGTTCTTTGGAGATTCAGTCACCCATACTCGTTGCTGTCTGTTATTTTGTCGGGAACAACTATCTTTTAATATTAAATGAACATAGCATTTACATTAACATATCGAAGCCACTTGATCTTTATGTGGGTACTACTAGAAAAGAGCAGGTTTCCACCGTCTTGGTAGTGGCAAATACTGGCTTCACTTCTGCTGGCCAGGCATTGCTGGAGCTTCCACTCCAGCAATTTTTTTAATCCTCCTTGGGTAGTGCCAGGGGAGGGGAAGGGAAGACAGTGCCCCTGTGAAATGTTAACTCGCTTTCCAACTGCTTCCGCTGACAGTCAAGAAGGCTGAACCTAAACCAGTTATTTCAGTCCTTCTAAATGGCGTCCCTGCCCATTTAGAAGATCGCTTTTGTCATAGATGAGATGTTGCACAAAGGTGTTGCTTCCTGAACGGAGATGTTAAAGATAAGGTGAAATCGGTTGTGTCTCAATGCTGCAGATCATCCGCATTTGCCAGATCTTAGAGACCAGCCACCAGTGCTGTTAATAACCTTTCGTGAACAGCTATTCTTGGCTGAAATTGTTTGGTTAAGGCAATGAGTGATGCACCTCTCACTTTGGCGAGGCATTGCAAGAAACTTCATAAGAAGTAAAACATTGAAATACTATCTGCGAAAGTAAATGTTCAATAATGTTGCCCTCAAGGATAAACAGTTACCGTATTTACTCGATTCTACCGCGCCCTCGATTGTAACGCGCACCCGATTTCCACCGCGAAAAAAAACAACAACGTAAGACATCGATTGCAACGCGCACCCATTTTTCTCGTTGGCACATACGATCACACCACTCGGGAAAACGACTCCTTTCGAGAGCGTCTTCCTTTTAAATATGAGGTACGGGCAAAGCTTGTGCCCATCTGACGTGTAACAGAGCATTGCCGTCACTGTAGTTTTACCGTGGACCTATTTCAGCACGCGAACTTGCTTCCCCCCCTTCTTCTCCACGGTTGTGGTGCCAGGCATGTCGAAGTAAAGAGGCATCTGATCGGCATTCCCGATTTGCCCAAGCAGGTAGCCGTTGTTGCGCTGCAAGTTTAGGACGAACCTCTGAAAACTGTGAAGCTTTTTATCGTACTCCTCCACAAAACTTTTCGCATATGCATGTTCCCCTTCGTAGGGAAAAGCCTTTCCTCTTCATAAAGTTAGTTAGCCAGCACCTGCTTGCTTTAAACTGGCTCCGCATTAGACCTTTTTCTAAGACTAATTGCATAGCCCGCACTTGGAGCAGTTCTGTCGTCACGGGCCGCTGTGCCGCTCGCTGCTCAAGCACATACTCGCCGAGCAGCTCTTTAATTTGCGGAAACCAACCCTGCTGTGGTCCACTGAAGCCTTTGCGTGAAGCTTCGCTGTCGACAATCTTCTGCTTTTGTTTCCGCCAGTCCCGCACGCACGTTTTGGGAACTCCGAACGATCGCGATGCGGCCCGATTTCTGTCCGTTTCTGCACACGTGATGACTTTTCTTTTAAAAGCGGCATCGTGGTGCACTCGCGTTTTTGGAGTCGGCCCTTCCACATCATCGATGCTAATGCACTACTAGATGACAAACTCCTCAGCACACATACGAAGTGCCGCACATGGGAAACACATAGGCAGAAATGGCCGACGCGCCATGCCAACGCACGTAGGGGGCGGCCATTTTGGATTTGCCGATGGCAATAGATTGACCGTAATTTTTTTGTTCGTACTCGATTCTAACACGCATGCGATTTATGAACTCGCTTAACCAAAAAAAAGGTGCGCGTTAGATTCGAGTAATTACGGTAAGTTGGGATGCCTACCTAACTGCTTGTGCTGGTTCACGTGGTGGCCCACTTGGCACTCTGTATGCGACTTGCATCTTTGTTTTTTGGCAAAATGCATGACCCTACGTGCACTATTGCTTTTTTTTTCTGTGCACTTTCAATTAATGTATTAGAGCTACTGTGTGTTCTTAGAAAGGCAAGCATATCCCATCATATTCTACACACAATGCATGCGGTTACTTTAAAATTATCATTTGCCAGAGTTTTCATTGAAACGTCCTACGAAACCTTTAAGAACAGGTGCCTGTCTAAGCTGTAGCATCTTTCAGTTTGTTAAATTGGCAACCATGTTGTCATCACAATGTAGTAGCACTGTTTATTTAAGGGAGTACTGGCACGAAACATTGAAAGCAAGATAACTTATAAAATAGATTTGCACAGACAGACATCTGTTGTCTTCGCAATAGCAGCAGATAATGCATATAGTCAAGAACATATCTAAAATTAATCTTAAAGTGCGTGTTGTGCCACTGCACGTGAAATGCACGTTTGGTTTTCGTGAGAACAACCAACGTGCGTTGGACAAACAAACGACCTGCGTCACGAGCTTTCACGTACTTGCGAGTGTGTTCGCCTTGCAGACCTTTCGAACGGAAAGAGGGGAAGACTTGAAGAGGTGTACAAAGGCTGACGTCTTTACTGCAGCAGTGCATTTTTAGGGGATCATGCATATTTGCTAGACTTGTGCGAATAATTTAATGCTTCAAATATTCGAATGATTATTACTATATTTGAATTTGCTTTGATTTGAATTTATATTGTGGAAAATTTCAAAGTATTTGAAATAAACAAACAGGTGTTACAGTCTGCACATAACCCCCCATGAAGGTGGTTTCAGGTGCTAAGCCGCAAAAGCATCTTTATAAATGTGTGTTAATTCGCATGTGACATCCTGTAAAGGTGGTTTCACTGCTGTGAAGGAGTTCTAAGCAATGAAAACATCTTTTCAGGGGGAATCTGCATTGCCGCGAAGCCCCACTTCAATGTTAAATGAGCATACTACCTTCACATTGATTCATCATTTTTTTGAAGCTTAAAAGCTTGTTATACTAGCTTGTATGCTCCAAGTATAGTAAAACTTAAAACGTAACATACTGTATAAGTTGTCGCTTACATTCCATTGAAAGTCAAATGCAGCTTTTGTTCGAAGTTGTTTCCACTATTTTTGAATCAAAAAGAATGACATTTATTTTTATATATTGTGCAGATTAGTTAATTGCAATTATGCCATTTTTCAGAATATGTGATATACATTAATCGAATTCACTGTGAAATTATTAGACCAAGAACACTATTCGCTTCCAATCTAAAATTCTCTATTTGCACAAGCATAATATTTGTAACGTCGTAAAGGGGATCTTAGTAGCATTCAGGAGGCCTTCATAGAAAGCTGTTGTCAACTTGTGCACATGCGGTTTTGTGTGCTCAATCAGCCAGCTATGTTTACATGAAAACCACTCTGAGTCCCATTTCACTCGGCGCTCTCTGAAACTAAAACTGCGACTGGGCGGTATAAAACTGTCTCTAAGTAATTAACTGTCATGCTCTCAAGCAAATGAGCTTTCTAGCTGTGATAAGTGGGTTGTTAGCTACCTAGTGCTACAGAAAAATCAAGATTTAGAGTGTTTTGTGTCAGTACTCTTCTTCAATGGACTCGTGTTTGTCCAATAACAGGCCTGCATTTCGTCAGTTCATTGACAGTCGTTCGTGTTGGCCTTGCATACATGACAGCATTACGCTAACATCTTGAACTAAGCTAATACAGATAATAATGTAGGGTTTCCTTGACATATTAGGCTACGAACTTGCCAGCAGCCACGACATCCTTCTTTTCCTTTTTATTGTTTTCCGTGCCCAGATTTACCACGTCAGCGTGATGCCCTGCTATGACAAGAAACTGGAAGCATCGCGGGCAGACTTCTACGACGAGATATACAGCACCAGAGATGTTGACTGCGTCATCACATCTGGTACGACATGTTTCCTTTAACTTGTTCATTTTTGCATTCCTTTACTTTGTATGGATGCGGTAGGAAAAAACACTTGCCAACTCGGGACTAATTGGTTTTGTACTTGTCTTGTACAAAAAGAAAAAGTGATCTTGTAGGGTTGAGGGGTTAGTATAGGAAGATGAAACATTAAACGCTTTTTTTTACAAACCCATTGAGCCAGCAGCACAGATTCTTCAAATTATCGACAGATTTAAGCATTGTGTGTAGCGCGTGCAGTTAATGAGTTTTAAGAATAGCACATCTCTACAGACACGATGTCACGCTGCACCGAGTTTTCACCGACTCTTACTTTGGGGCGAGGCATTATTTTAGGATATCACCCTTGCAGCTGATGTGATCGACTTTTTGGTTTTATACCAGAAGGGAAAATGCTGGCCTCTGGGTTAATTCTCCTAAATGTTGCTTTCAGAAGTAGGTGTTTGTGTACTGAGAGTGAAAAAAATGAACACCACCATTGTGGAACGACGAAAGCGTGTCTTGGAATCCATGCTTCCTCAACATGGCTTATAGTGTGGCCTGTGGTTGGCTGTGGTACGCTGAGAAAAGTTGGTGGTGATGGGATGGGTTGAGGCCACTAACATATGCATTGCATTGGTACTGCACTCGGACTTCATATAACGAACAGGGATATAATGAATTATCTGTTATAACGAAGTAAATAGTATATAAACAAGTATTTCAATAACATATTGTTAGAAACATACCTTTATAACAAATTTTCAGATAAAGCAAACTTATTTTATGTAAAAGTCAACTTTCTTATAATGTGGTATGAATGTACTATGAAGAGGCTACTTACATTTAGAGGAGACAATTACTACCTAGCCATTTTGCCTAGATTTCTGTGGTGATATATAGGCACCGTCTTTTTTGCCAGCTTAGTCAAAGTGAAGGCATGGAAGAAATTTTCTTTATTTATATATTTTAGATTGTATTAGGACGCCAAGGTCTTGGATAGCAAGGCTGAAATCAGAACATCGTCTGCCTGACTGACGTCTCGTTATTCATATATTGCTGTATAGTGAAGGAGTACGGTATACAAGAACATACATGGGATCGTCACGAATGGCATGAATTGTTGGTTTCGGTGATTGAGAAACTAATAATGTTATGCAATTTTGGGCAACAATAATTGGGTTCTAAGCATTTGAATGTGTAATAGAACAGAAAAATGTTTTCAAGCAAAATATTACACAGACAAGATGACGGCGTGACTGAGTCAATGAATTATATTGTGTATAGCACAGAGCCAAAGCAATACATGTAATCAAGTCTTTTAGTAGTGTTTCAGTCAGAAGTTCATCACTGACCATCGAGGCCATGTGGCACTATGAAATCGTAAGTGAGATTCACGGTGAGTGCCCAAAAGAAGTGTTCATCAGTCTAACAATTTGGTGTCGGTGGCAATAACTGCTATTGTTTATTGATTGTTCAGTACTTCGTCAAATCTGTTGTAACGCACATGTACTGTAGTGGCCTTGTATTCAATGTGGGAAGGGAATGTAGTCGCACTTTATGAGCAATGGCCAATTATGTGCATTGTTTTTTCCTTAAGTCAGATTGTCTACCATGTTTTTGTAAATTGCAAAATAGATCTTGCAAATACTCTTCATGATATTGACTTGAACTTTATCTCAGTAGTGCTGAGTTGTAAAGTCATGTTTTTTAATTGCATTATTATTTATATATAGATTGCATGTACTGTTAGTGGAACCTTATTTATGCAGCCAAAAATTACGCTGTATGACTTGTAGGTGGTCCATTGTGGATAACTCTGAGAATTATGGGATGAACTGGTATATGTAGGTACAATTTATATTGAACAACTGTACAGACACTCCTGTTAAATGAAACCTGAAGGGAAAAGGAAAATTTGTTTCATTTACGGATAAAAAGGGATAAAAAGCAAAAGGATTTTAGGGATAAAAAGCAGTCCGGGATTCAAGTACAGAACTGCTTCTATTAAAGACAGTTGTTCCATTTAAGAGCAGGCTCATCTTGGACCCTCCTTTGTTTATTTCTTCGGTGATCTTGATCAAACTGCACAGGCATATGCAGTTTTTTATGCTGATTTCAAATATCTATTACTTTTCCTGTAACTCATCTTGTTTCTGAGGTTCACCTCTTTGTTTAAGGCTGCCATGAAAAAAAAAGGCTTAATTAAAAGCAATACCGTATTTACTCGCATTAAAGGCGCACCTTTTTTTTTTCACGAAATACAGCTCGAAGTTGGGGGTGCATCAATTACGCGAGGTAAAATTTTCGAAAATTTTTTCGACTCTGTTCTCGCACTTTAAATCTGCACATTTGTCAAGTAAAAGGCGATTATATCGTTTACCAATTAATTCAGCATTAAACAAACATGCCTACGTACCTTTTAATGAACGAGCGAGAGCCGTCAACTGCACACACACACGTGAAATTTATTTACATAAAACTCGTAGGTGTTCCTCCTTTTTCTTATTCGTAGTCCGAGTCTGAGAGCACACATTCATTCTCGCCGAGCCGGGATTCATTTTCGGTGTCCGAATAATCGACACCCCACAACATGTCATCCTCACTCGTATCCAGTGCGTTCGAGATACCCGTCTTCTTGAAGCTTTTCCTGACGACTTCGTCAAAGATCGCTTGCCACGCTTCCACAATCCAAGCGCACAGCATTTCCACAGGCGGCCTCTTAATCTTACCACCCGGAGTCAGCTGATGTTGTCCTCCAGCCATCCAGGTGGTGTACAGCCTTCAAAGATTGTCCTTGAAAGGCTTATTCAAGAACAAGTCCAAACGCTGCACTATCGATGTGAGGCCGCCCGGAATCACTGCCAGATCTGTGCGCATCTCCTTTAGCTCATCTCGTACGCGGTCTGCTAGGTGCCCACGAAAACTGTTTAGAACAAGCATGGACGGGAACAACAGACCACCTGGCCGCCAACCCCAGACTGTTTCCACCCGATTCACCATGAGTTCCACGCTCATCCAACCTTTTTCCTGGACTCTGATGTAGATGCCCTGAGGGAAATTTGCCTTTGGGAGTTTTACGTTTAAAAATAACATAAGGCGGTAGCTTGCGCCCATCCACTGTCACCACTAGCATTTCGGTGCATCGTTGTTTATCAGTGCCAGACGTTCTGATGATGATGCTCCATGCACCTTTTTCCTCCACTGTCCTGTTCCGCGGCATATCAAAGCAAAGGGGGGTCTGATCAGCGTTGCCAGTCTGGGACAAAATGAAGTCTTTCTGCTGTCGGAACTTGATAACGAAACAGTGGAAGTCCACCACTTTGTCCTCATGTGCTGCGGGCAAGCGCTGGCACAAGGTGGTCTGCCTTGGCAGTGCTAGGCCATGGCGCCGCATGAAACGAGTTGTCCATCCGAAGCTGGCATTGAACTCTTTTGCTTCGATGTGCTGCAGTCGGGCTATTCTGCGCCCCTCAGTCTGCACAATATCTAATGACACAGCAGAGCCGTCTCGGCATAGCTCCCGTATATGCCAGACCAGTTGCTCTTCGATGTTTGGATGCCGGTCTTGGCACCGTGAAAAGCCCATCATGTCTTCTTTGTTGCCTTAAGTTTTTCTTCTTGATTTCTCCAGTACCGAATACTGGTTTCTCCAACACCGAAATGCCTGCTTGCAGCCTGGTTGCCGTGCTCCAGCTTGTACTGCACTTCCTTCAGTTTAAATCCAGCTGTGTAGCTTTCGTACTTCCCCATGGTAGAACCAAAGTTGAATACACGACTACAACATACGCACATTACTTGCAAAATGTCGTTTCGTTCTTTTTTTCTGATGGTGGTGATGGCGATCAAGCCCCCGGCGTTCTACATGTGGCTTCCAAGGAGCGCGGCGATTTGGGGAGTATCATTAATTGATAAAACAGCCATTTCTTTTTTTTTTTTTCACTCATGGACGCTTTGTTTTTAAGTTTTATTTCGACAAACACCTCGGTTAGGTCGTTGCACTTCGAATTTTTTTACTTGCTCATCAATTCGCCTTCTTTTTTTCTTCAGGGTGCGGGTATCCTGTTTCAACTGTACCACTGGGGGGGTAGAATCGTTTCTGATCACGGCCAAGTTCATGGTGCGCCTATATGTGTGGAATTAGAAAAATCAAATTTTCCGTGACCAAACTAAGGGTGTGCCTATTATGCGATTGTGCCGATTATGCAAGTAAATACGGTATTTAAGATATGGCAAAATAGACTAATAAATAGAGATTGATAGCATGCAAAAGTTTTTGTTTTGTTTTTCGCCCCTTTTTTGGTTATTTTACAGCCAAATGAACTTTCCATTTTCAAAAGCAGTTAGAATTGTGTTGCAATTTTGATGATTAAATAATTAGAAAGGCTTGTGCTCTAAATATTGCTCCCATAATTGTATTCTGTACACGTACGCATTTCCATTTGAAAAAGAATTATTGTTGTACTTGCCCTAGCTGCAGAGATATTGAGACCTCAAAATTGAAAAGTCATAAATTTATATTTCTGAGAAAAATGAAAAAGAACTGATGGCAGGCACAGTTTTTTCGGGTGCACACTAAAGAACCCCAGGTGGTCTAAATTTCAGGAGCCCTTCACTACAGCACCTCTCATAATCATGTGGTGGTTTTTGAATGCTAAACCCCACAAATCAATCAATCAATAAGCACAGTTTCTTCAAAAAAGAATAATACTAGTATGTATGTTTTGCAATGCTCATAAAGGCTCTCATAAATTGCCAGCAGAGCTTCGAACACAGCTGCTGGCAAATTATGAAGAAGCCTCGAAGTAGGCTCCCAATTTCTTACAGGTTCTGCATTTTGTTAGCACCAAGAATCTGGACAGTCAGAATGATATTACAAGAAAATTACCACTTTCTCTGTGTAAAAATTTAAAGATAGAAAAATACTTGCAGAAACCAAATACAGTCAAACACGGTTATATCAAATCCACATATATAGAATTTTTGGGTATATCGAACTCGTAAGTTATCCTCTTGAAATTCCTTTGTAAAAGTTTAGAAATTTGCGCGTTTATATCGAATGGTATTTTTACCCGCTTCGGATATATCGAACGGCACGTGAGTTGCAAGGTGCGCTCTGGCACTCGCCCCCGCTTCCCTTTCGCGATCTCCGCGGCAGCTCGGCTCCGCACGCGAGTTGAAAGGCGCGCTTTAGCACCCAGCGCCCAGTGACCTCTGTGCAGTACCACGCCTCCACCAAAACCCGAAATGCTCGAAAAAAGGTAAGGGCGAGAGGGCTCAGACTGCGCAATCTCCAACTTGCGGAACAGCAGTTTTTTTTTTCGTTTCCCTCTTTCATGCTTTCTCCGCGTACTCGTCGGCTTGGAGAGCAGGCACGAAGAAGCCGCCGTCCTCCTTCTTTCGCCTTTTCTTTTTTTATGTTTTGTTGCTTTTTTGGGAGTTTTGATCAGCCGTCCAAGTGGATGACCAATGTCGCAGGTAGCCATCGCCTCGCAAGCGCTGTGTTGCTTCTGTTCGCGCATCGCCTATGTACAACCGCATGTGCAGCATTTCTCTTTTGCTTGCGTGGTGTGCAAAGCCACTGCGGACACCTTGAATTGTCAACTTTTCTTGTTGCTATGACCAGCGTCAAGAAGCGCAAGGCCCTTGACTTTGCGATGAAGTTGAAGGCTATTAGCATGTTGATGTGGGCGAAAAATGTTCGACCGTTGTGGACAACTTCAGGATACCACGGAGCACTCTGAGTACCTTGTTGAAAAACAAGGCAGATATGAAGGCAAAGGCGGCGGAGCAGCGAACTTCGGGAGCTTGTCATGTGTGGGTTCTGCCCATGGGAACGTAGAAAAGGCAATCTATGCCTGGTTTTTAGAAGTGCGCGCGAAGAACATTCCGGTGAATGGCCCGATGCTGATCGCCTAGGCCAAATGGTTTGTTGCTGCACTCGGCGAAACAACTTCACCGACAACAGCGGGTAACTTCACCAATTTAAGCCACGCTACAACATCGTTAACAAAACTAAAACTGGCGAAAGCGAAGCTATTAGCAGCCAGGACATCCAGCAGTAAATGACGAAGGAGTGGCCGGAAATCTCCACGATGTTTTCTCCCACGGAGATCTTCAATGCCTGGCAAGACTTGAAGACGGACACAGTGGTCAACTGCTTCCGCAAGGCAGGCTTCGATACGACGGAATTTGCAGAAACCGGTATTACGAAGACGACGACCGCATAAACGACGCGTTTCGCGAGTTGTCATCCAGCTTCCTGGCACCAGTTCCATATGAAGTGTCTGCGGACACGATGTGTTTGTGGAAGCGGATTGCAATGTCCAGGCCGACAGCTCATGTGACGAGGAGGATCGTTTGGTCGAGGCGCTGACTACAGGCACGTACTCCATCGCTGAAGTGACGGCAGTGTTCAGCGTCATTGGCCACATGGAGGGAACCGGGCTGTTGCACCTTTACAACCTTGATAAGATCGAGACTAGCGTCTTCAACATTTCAAAAACAAAGAAGCAGGCCAAGATTAGCGTTTTTTTTTTCACGAAAATAAATCATTCTGTTGCAGCATGTGTGCGGAATCAGTTGTCATTCTTGAATGTGCCTGTTGTAGGTGATGGCCCGCTACAGGTAAGCTCTCGGGGGGGGGGGGGGGGGGGGGGGGGGGGGGGGGGGGGCTCTATTTCTTTATATAGAATTTTTCATATATCGAACTAATTCGCAATTCCCTTTGAGTTCGATATATTCGTGTTCGACTGTATGTTAATTTTAAAAAAGGAATTCTTTTGTCACTTTTTAGTCCCAAATACCAGTTCACCCCCTCACGAAGCAATATCATTTAACAGAGTTTCAATTATGGAGAGTCTACTGTATTGTGAAACATCTAAAGACACAATTTCGAAGTTGGTGAATGTGCTTAAGATACCACACTTGGAGCGTATAGTTTTTCTGAAAAATATTTTTCTTGTACCATGTTAAACTTCTTGAAAATTGGCTTCTGCAGGTATAAGCAGTACACTCAAACCTCGTTTTAACAATGTCACATCATCCACAAAAACGCTTTGTTATATCCTAAAATAGTTATAAACAAATATTTGTAGCACTGTACCTATGTTAGAGCTACTGTTCATCTACTTCGTTATGACTGACAATTCTTTATATCCGCGTTCGTTATGTCAAGGTTTGAGTGCAGCCTCTGTTTTTCACTGTGTCAGCAGGTGGTTTCTGTTTTTGTTTGCAGTTGAAGTTGAGTCCATGGTGGCAAAAGAAAACAAGTCCTTTGGGGAATTGCCCCTGGCTGCATCGGATTCACTGTGAGTGAACAACTGCTGCTCCTGCTGGGCATCTAATTGGTGATGCAGAGCATGTCTTTTGCATCTATACCAGTCGGAGTTCCTAGGGGAAATTCACCTGAGGAGCTGCTGTCTAATGTGCTGTCATCCCAGCACTTTTCATTGTGACCTCAGCCCTTGACCCGTAGCAACCTTCGTTGCTCGATCATTTTTAATTGTGGTTAGGCTTATCTAGATCAAGATCATGATGTCGCATCACCTACATACAACCTATACCAAACAGACTAGAAAAAGCCGTCTTCATAATCGACCATTTTTGCAGTTTCAAGTCTTGTGCGGCTTAGTGCATGCTCTCTTTCTCGTCTCTTTTTAAAAGGTTCTATTTTATTTCTTTAATAGTGTCGGTTTCTGTTAAGGTAAGTACAGAAATTCAGTATCATCGTAGTCAGAACACTGCTATTTTAATCTGCAAGACCGTTGTTAGCCTCTGTAACTGTCTCATCTCGTTACTGCTTGCATCTAGCCTCTTGCACACCTTAAATCATTTCGAGTCATGTCGGTACGGTAGTAGCGTAGCATAAATGGTGGGTTATTGCTGTCACTTTTAAAACACTCTCGTTTTTGCTATGCCATGTAGGTTCCACTGCGAGGTTGATGGCCGTCCGTACAGGCACTCAGGGTCTGGATCCGGCGGCTACAGCGAGTACGTCTTTGTGGAGGCGGCAAGACTACTTTTTCATCACAGGCCAGAAGAGGTAGTCTTCAAGGCACTCAGGTAATGAAACAGGTACCTGTACAAAAGCTGTACCACGTGATGCTTGCATGTAGTGTAGAGAAGGGGAATCGATCAAGGGCTTCTTTTCTTCATTGGACCCAACTTAAAAACTTACAGAGAGTGAAAGCAAGGAAATTGTAAAACAGATTACACTCATACCTTAATATAATACCTTAATAAGTCAGCCCCCGGGTTTACATTTGTCCGCCCATTACAAAAAGTGTGGCTGCATACCTGAATTTTCACGCACATTTGTCTTATGCAGCGATCATGACACAAAAACTAGAGAGATAGCGGAAGCCTTTTTTTATTAAAAAGAATATTGATAGTTGTGTCAGTTCACCTCTATATCATTGTTAGATTGCGAAATCTAGTTTCTCGGCGACACTTGATCACGGTGGAACCTTCTCCCTAGTTTTTCCCTTTCTCCTCTTGTCTTTCTGGTATATTATATCTTCATTGAATAAACCGAGTTTCAGTCTGCGCTTGTTTGTCACCTCTCTTGTGTCCCGTTAGTTTGTGCTCCCAATTATATCATGAATATACCTTTATATCAAGTTTTTGGATATAATGTACTTATTTTCGCGTAAGGTACAACTTTGTTATAATGAGGTTTGAGTCTGTTTGCAGGCTTTCAAGTGTAGCGAAGTAGTTACAATATTGCAAAATATCTTCACAGACATCTCGGTCTGTGCACCGTGCTGGAAAGAACAATTGCTGTAAACTATCGTGTTGCTCCTGTCAGCTTGGCTACTCATAGTTGTCGCCACAGCATCAAGATCACCCATGAGACGAAGTCCAGTACCAGAGTACAAAGGTTGTGTTCCAATGAAGTCGCATGAGATAAAAAGCGATACACCCTGCGTGACAAACCATGATGATGATTACGATGGCATGTATGTACAGATGAAGACAGTAAACTGCGTAGTCGGCGTTCACAATATATACATTAAGAAATCGAAATTGACAAAAAGGCGACTTGCCGCCATTAGGGACCGAACCTACAACCTGTGGATAATGCGTCCGATTCTCTGCACATCGTGAGGGTTTGGGTCAGCCATATTAGCTTGCCGTCAGCTGCCAGCGTATAGAAAGATAAGTGCTACGTGATGCCAGCTTGCGAAAAAAAAGTAAGTAAATAAGGGTGTGCCCCACTCACTGTCATGGCTGTGAGCAGCACTGGCGGACACTCCCACGTTTACGTGCATAGAAATATCAAACAAAGCGCTGGGGAGGATCATCACGGCCATAATCCAATGGGTAGATTATCAGATGCGTCAAAAAAACTACAGCTGTGTAAAATTTCGTGACCGAAGTGACAAACTATAAAACGAGTGAAGTATAACGAGCCGCTCGCTAGAAATTTCTGACCTGATAGCATCAGCTTCTTTGAGAACTTGTTTGTCACAAACTAGATGACAAAAAGCAATTCGTTATATCAAATATTCATTAAAGAGAACCTTTGACATCCTCTGGAAATTCGACAGCTTCTGGTTCTTCCAAGCAGAGTGCTCTGTGAGCTTCATACAGGGGTGCATGAGCTTCATACAGGGTCAGACAACTTTTGGCCTGGTGAGTCGGTGTATTCTCACTGTCACTGGCACTCTCCTATTGGCCTCGAGGAACACTGTAGAAAAAAACGATTTTTTGTTTGTCAGTGAATTATAATTCTGCAATGCTGAAAAAAACCACTCTTATTGCAAGAAGGCACTTGGTAAGTGAGAAAAAGGGTGAAAAAAAAAAAAGCATCAGTGGCAATGCCACCTTGAAATTCCCACAGCAAACACCCCAATGCCATCGATTTCGATGGCGTTTAGTGGGTTTTACCTAGTTCTTAGGCAGGCAAAACTAACTACATTGTCTTCTGAAGGGACTATAGACTTAGCATGCGAAAGTTTCAAGAAATTCCGCTGAGCCGATATCGCCAAGCTGCGAAAAATAGACATTGAAATCTGTGAAGTCACGTGTGAATATTTCAATGTGGAAATTTAAAAACGAAACTTCGAACTTGCTTTTTGCCTTTAATAATAAGCTCATGGTAGTCAAATTAATTGCGTCAAATTTCTCCATCTACTAGGCTTGTGCGAATAGCGAATTTTAGGTTCGAGTCTCATAGTGATTTTGTTGAATAATTTCTATTCGAATTCGAATAGTATATATCCCCCACATTATTAGAAAAAAAAATGGGCATATTTCTCAACGCTCAACTAACCTCCACAATATGTATTTTTAAAATTTAAAAAACACCTGTGTTAATGCTATTCTTCTTAGTTCAAAAGAAGTGGTAACAACCTTGAATAGGAGCAGAATTAGACTTTCAGTTAAATGCAAGTGGTATCCTGTAAAATACGCTACATTAATATTTCGATCCTTACAGCACATAAGTCAGTATAACAAGCTTTCAAACTTTAAAAAATGATGAATCAGTATGAAGGTAACATTTAACGTTGGAAGTGAGGCTTCACGTCAGTGCGAAATTTTTTTTGTAATTGTTCTTGTGGCTTGGCATTCCTCCACTGCAGTGAAATGACATTTACCGGGGTTACTTGCGAACTAATATTAACTCATTCACTTTGAGTGCTTCAAAATTTTCAACAATTAAAATGCGAATCAAAGTGAATTCGAATGTTCAAAGTACTTGAATATTCAGATTGAGTCTACTGACTCAAATGAACCTTCATTGTTTGACTTTACTGTCCCTTTAAAAACTGTTACAGGAACCAGGACTTTCGTGAAGTGACACTAGAGCTAGACGGGGAGACTGTGCTGCGCTTTGCCATCGCCAACGGCTTCCGCAACATCCAGAACGTGGTGCAGAAGATGAAGCGGGCGAAGTGTCCGTACCACTTCATCGAGATCATGGCCTGTCCTGCCGGTAAGCCTCGGCCAGCAACATATCTTGTTACTTTCCTTGAAAGTTATGCACGCTTCATTAAAATGCATTGCGTTCATCGCTGGTGAACGAAACACTTGCACCAGCGGCTGAACAAGGGCCAACTTTGTTGGTTATGGCAAGGGATGTGCAGTTGCATCCATATAAAAGAGAAGCTTGTTTATCGGCATGTCGCTAACTCGGGAATTCGGTTAACTCGGACTCGCGGCGCGGTCCCAGCAAAATTGTGTGTATTTCAATGGTGTCGAATGCTCGTTAATTCGGAAGAATTTAGATGCAAACCGGTTAACTTGGACATTTATGGAGACAGCTGTGGGCACTCCGTGCTTTCAGTTGCACGATCTCGGAGGCTTCGAGGCCCAAGCACTGCTTACTGTGACTGGCAGCAGAACCGGTGTTTTGGAGAAAGTGAAACCGAATGAACAGCTGCAGAATATGATCCCGATGATAGTGAATGAGGAGGTAAAAGGCCAGGTGGCAATATTCACCAACCAGCGGAAGCCGCTGGTGTTTCCAGTGTCTGCGAAATGCGCTGGGACAGTTTGCACAGCCACCGACACCAAAGCTGTTCGCTACGCCTACGCTGCTGATTTCTTTGTGTCGTAACTTAGCGCGTATCGTGTGCAGCTCGGGCACGTTGTGTTCTGGGGTTGTGTTTGTGCATGTTGCCGTCAGCATCGCGCTTCATAGTGATAGCGACTGTCACCGAAATGAAGCGTCCGCTGCAGCCAGCTAATTAGAAAGAAAGGTCATGTTTTGATAGACAGGAACGCAGGTGTTTCTTGACAGGAGATTATGAAAAAGTATGACGTCAAGAGAAGCACCTTAAGCGTCTATTCCATCACCAAAAGAGAGTGTCTTGCTCTTGTTTGGGCTGTCACTAAATTTTGCCCGTACTTGTTCGGCCACAGTTTTACTTTTGTAACCGATCATCATGCGCTCTGCTGGCTTTCGTTGCTCAAGGATCCCACGGGACGTCTCCACGGGACGTCTCGGTCGTTAGTCTCTCCGCCTCCAAGATTACACCCTCTCGGTCGTGTATAAATCAGGTCACCTCCATCAGGACGCCGACTGCCTGTCACGGTATCCAGTGGATCCGCCAGACGCCACATAGAGAGCTACTGAGGCTTGCGTCTTATCAATATCAGACTTTCTTGATATCGCTTCTCAGCAACGTCGCGACCCGAATTTGCTTCCCATCATAGAAGGCCTGAGTTCCGCTACTCCACCCACTTCTCTGAACTTGTATTTCCTTCATTAAGGGGTTCTCTATCGCCACAACATGCACCCTAATGGTCCTGACCGACTTCTCATCGTGCCTTCCCATTTGCGTGTAGATGTTCTCTGACAGCTTCTCGATGAACCTGCCGCTGGTCACCAGGGAGGTCCCAATCCGCCGGTCTGCGTTCGGTAAATCAAGTTCATTGAGGTGCTGACACGTGGAGATGACGTCAGCGACAGTAGAAGGACTCTAAGCAACAAGGGCATTAAGGGGGGATGCTACACCTTCCAAAAACTCTTTTATTTTTGCGAGTACCTCAGTCAAATTTGGAGAGTCTATGTAGATTTTACTGCTGATTTCAAAAATCTAATTCTTTTTTTGCTGTGACAATTAGTTTTAAAGATATAATGAACTGCGACTTTTTCAATTAAGGCCTAATTAGCTAATTGACTGTAACTTGGATATTGATGTGCAACCTATAGAACCAATTCGGTATGTTCACAGTGTGCAATAAAGTATAAATCATTGTTCTGGGCTATTTCGAAACAAAGTTGTGGGATGTTGAATATGACATGAAAAATTTCCCCATCTACACTTGAAACAAAAGATCCATTTAGAGAATTTTCTCCAAAAATTATTACAATAAAACTTACTTTACGACACATCCCCTGCATTTATCTTCGAAACAAAAAAGAAATCGTAATGATAATCCAGATAGAACAAGAGATATTGCTCCGGCATAATGGGAAGCACATGAAAATTGTCGTTTTGAGAAATCGAGAAAAAACGTGGGCACACATTTTTATTGCAGAAGATGCAACAAGACAACCTCAAAACGCACCAGAAGCATAGTCTGAATGCATTCTGTGCTCATGCCTCCTCTTCACTAGCTTCCGGAGTTCCAATGAGGCTGTTCTTTTCTTGTTGGAGACAATGCTGCAACGGTGGTCTTTTTCTCTCGCTCTCCTGGCACCAGTACTTGTCGCATTCATGTCCATTTCACCTAAGATTGCCGTTGCAGAATTCAAATTGCCCGTGTTGAAGCGCAGCACTGCTTCTGCAACAGCTGCTTCAACAGCGAACAGGGACGCATGGTGCTCCTTGGGGGCCAAACTCCAGATTACCGAATGTAGGCTCTCGTTGGAGTTCTGCGTTTTGCCGCGTTCGCACCTCTGAAGCAGGGCTCTTTCCGAAAGCCGGGTATAAACTGGTAGTAATGCCTCTGCCACGTCTTTCGGTAGATTGTAGGCATGCCTGGGGTCGGGCTCACCCTTTGCTTTTGCGGCATTGTGCCGACACCATGAAGTTTCACCAGCTGGGCACAGACTGTGGTCCGAGCATTCATCAGTGGAGGTGACGTGGCGGTATGTGGCCATCGCAGCCTTTTGCATCTCGCCCACGTCACCTTCATGCGATTTCAGAGCCCGGCCATAATATGTGCTCAGCCTGGTGATCAGCTCACCTGTGAGCCTGCCTTTCCCACCAAGGCCTCTTTTCCCATCGCACTTTTGTTTCTGCACCAGGTTTCTCAATGCGGTGCCCATCCGTTTCTGTACATGATTAATACAGTCTTCCTTCTGCACGTCAATGTAACCATACACCTTGGCGTCTTGTATGGCGCAAAATGTCCTAGAGTCTCCATCAGACAGCATAGTTGTGTAGCGCAGGCCATGGCGTTCAAGCGACCTCTGAAATAGAATTAGAGCCGCCTCCACCTCCATTTGCCCCGCTTTGCTGTTCGTATTTTTTTGGCATTTGTGGTTAGCCTTCCATTCTTGATAGCCCTCACTACTAGGCTTTGGGCCCACCTCGCAGCCTAGGCAAAAGTTGGAAAGAACGACGTAGTCCAACACGTAGCCACTAAATAATTCGATAACTGTGCCCACGCCGATGTGGGAAGAATGGCCTCGCGTCTTCCACGTGCCGTCGTAGCTAACGGCAATATTGCCCCGGTGGCCGAAGCACAAGTCATCATAAATTGTTCTAACCTTTTCCGCACATTCGCTCATAGCGGACTCAGCCGCTCGCGTTGCAGCGGGTGCCAGCGTGTTCTTCAAATGCCGCTGCAACGTCTTGTGGTGCATACCGCGGTGTGAGATGCCCATTGTTGCGAAAATATCGTTCATTTTCGTTTGGCCATTGCCGGTAGCCACCATCGCCCTCGAAGCGAGAAGATTTACTTCAAACGGATTGCACGTTTTCGTGCCGTTCGCGCGGGGCGAAGTCCATTCATTCGCGATCTCGCCGCACCTTTCACACTGCACTAGCACTTTCACGGCAAGTCCGTAGTCCCGATCCCCTCTGACGATCGTAGCCGGTCCGTTGCAGGCTTTGCAACACAAGGCACCCATTATCGCGTTTAGGATATCTAGATGCATAAGCAGATAAGGAGCAGCGTGGTCCGAGTCCTGTGCGGTTGCCTCGCTACAACTCGCGGTGAAAAAGTCAATTTTCCGTGCAGTTGCTGGCGCCGATGAAAGCCGGTCGAGCGTCGCTTTCTCCCGGGCATGATTTTCTTCAACTTCGGCGTTTGTCACCACCTTGGCGTCGATTCGTAGTCGTCCGGAGTTCGCTTCACCGTCATCGTCGTCGGAGGCAACGCGCTCGTTCGCACCATCGCTGAACGGCCGCGGAGCGTCGACACATTGTTCGTCGGAGTCAACCAAGGGCTCTGATGACTTCGTAGACTTTCTCCCACGACCTTTGCGTTTCCTGCGACCAAATGCGTGCACGGTCCGATACTTTTTTGCGTTTCCAGGCATGGCGATACGATCAGAAGCTTCAGAGTGCTCTGCTGATTTCGAGGCGTCACAGCGGTAACCCTTTCAAAATGGTGTCGGGTCGCGTATGCAGGCGCAAGCCGCGAGCTTCCAGCCAACCGGAAAGCGCCATTTCAGTCACGTGCGCCGTTTAGCCAATGGCAGTGAGCGCGGCTCTTCGTCTTTGAGGCCCCGTTTTTCGAGCCGGGGAAACGCTCAATGTTGCTTACTGAATAAAAAAAAACAGCTGAAAACGTGTTCTTTCAAACAAGACCAAAATGGCGCCGATCGAGCGCGTAGTTCCCGCGTATCGTAGAGCCGAAACCTGCGCTATTCGCCCTCAATTTAAAGGGCAGGACGCCCGTTTTCGGTTTTTTAAAGTTGAATAACGATAAAAGTTGATGGTATTCGGCTATGAAATTTTGTAAATAGGTGCGCAATGATGTCGGGAACGCGAAAAGAAGGTCCGCGAAAACTCGATTTTTTGGCTGATTTTCGGTCCCGAAGTGCCGCGTCCCCCCTTAAAGGCAACGGTGCCAATACCCTTCAAAATCTGGCGCAATTTGTCCGACACGGACATCGACGGATAGACACACCGGCAGAGCGCAAGGGCATCCTCGATGTATGATGTGTACAACTCATGGGAATGCTGTTGGCAAGTATTGAGGGTCCTCTTTATGAGAGGGGATTGAACGGCAGGTGTGCCGAATACTTGGCGAAGCTGCTGCTTCAAGGCAGGCCATTCGGTCGAGTCACTCTCATGGTTGAAGAACCATGTCTTGGCAACATCTGTGAAATAAAGGGAGACGCGACAGAGCTTGTTAGAGTTGTCCAACAGATTAGTAGCACTGACTCGCTCATAATGGTCAAGCCAGTGCTCTACATCTTCGCCACGGAGACCAGTGAAGATTGGGGGGTCACGGTGGTACTTGACGACGTAAAAAGGGGGCTTGCTGCGTCGGACTGGTAGCAGCATGGGTGTCGGGCAGCTCGTTCTGCGACATGTTGGAGGACAGAGGGTGCAAGCGGCAGCCCGATTGGCACTCCAGCGAGTAGACATTGTGAGGAGAGAAGTGGGGATCGTAAATCCACACTTATTAGCGAACAAGCGCTATGGATCAGAGATGAACCGCACATTCAAATACGATGATGATTGTCAGCCAGAACAGGTGATGATGATTGACAGCTGTTGAGATGAGGATGAAGCCCATAATAGATGCCTACTATATATATATACATACATACATACATACATACATACATACATACATATATGGTCAAGTAGATCCTCCGTGAGTGGTCACAACGTGGTTTATTTTGATGTTTCGGCCTAGAGTCTGGCCTTCATCAGGATTGAAGGTACAGTTTGTTGGTGCTCAGCTTTATACAATCTCAAATCAGAGGGGGGAAAGAGAAAGGGGAAAAAAGAAAGAAACAAACAAAAAAGAGAAAGAAAAAAAAGAATATAAGGTGGACTCCCCCCCGGGGGCCACTCTTCCCTCCACTTCCCCCTCCATCTCTCTCCCTTTTCACCTTTCCGATGTCTGTGGTCTGTGTATGCTTCCTTTCACTAACGCATTCTTCTCGACCAGACGATGCCTCCTGGCTCTGGCGGTTCGGTGTGGGGCAAAAAGAACGTTGTTGAGAAGTTTAAGCCTTTAACTATCAGCACCCCGTCGACATTTCTTCGTAGAAAGAGGGGTGCCGCGTATTGCCGCAGAGGCTGGTAAACGGGCGCAATGCGAATTCCTTGCCCGCTTCTGGATTACGCGTGCAGTAGGGGCCTCCCGACTGTGCACAGGGTTGCTGTTGGGCATGTCGTGCATGGCACAATTGATTGGGTAGTAAAGTAAAAACAGAAAACAGACGACAGCTGTATTTGGGAAGAGTAGTTACACTTGGAATTGTTTTGGGTTGTCCAGTGTCCTTCGCAGCTGCAGTGCCGTGAACTCAGTTACTATTTTCATTGTAGCCGTTATTGTTTTATAATGCTTTAATTGCTGCAAGTGTACCAGGATTCTCATTTATTCCTCTATCGAGGGTGTTAAATAGGTGGATAAGGTATGACTCTCGTTGGTCACGTTCTCGGTTTGATTTAAATCCCGTCTCTAAGAGCGTTACTGATAGTTTGTCGAATGCATGGTCGGGAAGATTGAGATGTTTTGATAGTGGTAGACTTGAGGCTGATTTCGCATGGGCTCTGTGATTATTGAAGCAAATCCTAAATGGTGTTTCTGTTTGTCCGATGTACTGCCCACTGCACATGTTGCATTCGAGTAGGTATACCACATTAGAGGAATCGCATGTTAGGTTTCCTCCTATGTTAATCGAAAACTTGGATTGTGTGCTGGTTGCTTTGTGCGTTTCTCGCATCGCCTTACACACAAGACATCATGACTTTAAACAAGGTCGGCATTAATTTAATTATTGGGGGGTGAGGTATTGATTTGAGAGTGGGCAAGTGTGTCTTTGAGGTTGCGTGGTCGTCTGTAAACGACGCCTGGAGCGGATGGGAATGCGCGTTTCAGACGTTCGCTTTGTTCCAGAATGTTGTAATGTTGTTTAAGGATTTTGTTTACATTGGGGAAGTTTGTGCTGTAAGTCAAGCAGAGTTTTTTCGTTGCGGGTCGTCTTGCGGTGGTCGCTTCATAAGTAAGTCATTATGCTTCAGTTTTCTCGCTTTTTGAACAGCGTCATCAATTACAGGTGGGGGGTATTTTTTTTTCTCGAGCATAAGTTTTAGCCTCCGTGAGCTCGTGTCAAAAATCAGTGACTCTTGAGCAGATTCGCTTAAACCGGTGAGCCTGGCTGTATGGAATACTGTTTTTACAGTGACGCGGGTGATCGCTTTGGTAATGGAGGTATTGTTGTCGATCCATTGGTTTGCGATATAGGGTTGTAGAGAGCTTGTCTTCTTCTATTGTTATGGTAACATCAAGAAAATTTACGGTTACTTGCGAGTATGTGTGTGTGAAGTGTATGTTCGGATGTACAGCATTGTAAGCGTCGATAAAGCTGAGAAGTTCGTCCTCGCTGTGTGTCCAAATAAGAAAGATGTCATCTATATATCTTCTGTATATCAGTGGTTTCAAAGAACTTTGTGCAAGAAATTTGTGCAAGAGATTGTGCACGTTTCGCGTCTCAAGCCCTATCGTATGCGTTCCACAGCGTAATTCGCGGCCAGGCTGGCCGCTTCCGTCGACGGGGGAAATTAGCGTAAGAATTCATTGGACGTCATCTTCCTCATCTGTCAATAACCATCATCAGTTTTCGCCCCGTTCCTCTTCATCATCGGCGCCATCTTGCTGTTGCTTGAATAAAGCGTCAGCTGAACCGTTGTATTTCAATATATATATATATATATATATATATATATATATATATATATATATATATATATATATATATATATATATATGTATGTGTGTATGAAGTGTGTGTGTGTTACCACATCTAGCAATATGTGGACACTGGCAAATGATACATAGCATGCAGCTTCCTCTTCTTGTGCTCGCATAACACAGAACAATGCCCAGACACTGATGTTCTATATACTCATGCGAGTCATTCCTTGTCATTCCTTTCTTAGACAGCCGAAGCTGACAAATATAGATGCCTTTTGAATGTGACATTCCTTATTTGAATTCTCTGTTATGAGATGAGTGCTGCTTTTGCTGTAGATTGTACTGTCGGTCGAAAAACGTTGCGGGATTTGCAGCACGTGCCAGAACGACGGAAAATTGCATCGCTGTGCCATCTAGCGTCATACAACATAGTGTTGACACTAGACAGCCGTGGCCTCCGCAATGATTTCCGGCAAAGATGCGTTGGCGAAGCTAATCACTGTGACCATGGCCTTAGCACCAAGCTGTGTTACAGTAAGTTGCATAGAAATGCAGATGTCTGTTGCTCTGCCATGCGCTGCAGATCCTGCAAACTTTTGTGCCTTGCAGTATTTGAAATGGTGGTGCTTGACACTGTTCTGGCATCTACAGTTGCTGCCGTGTCGGCCCGCATCGCCAGCATGGGTGGCGTGTAGGCAGTGCACACCTAGAAATGTCCAGCTGTACAGCCGTCTCTTCAAAGCTGTGTCAAATCATTGTTTTGAAATTTTAAACTGTGCTGGGGATAAAACACCGCAGTAGAAAAAGACAGGTTGAACGCTGGGTTCGTCCCGTCTTTTTATCTTCTGGGTGATCCCCAGTGGAGTTTAAATTACCAAAGTAATGTCTTGCCACACATGCTCCTTGTGTCAAATATGCACTGCACATAGGATAGACCACATGTATTGAATGCTTTTATCTCTGTTTTTTTTCCGTGTTTTTCTTGAATATCTTTTAAATGTTTTCATGCGTGTAGGTTGCCTCAACGGCGGAGCGCAGTTGCGACCGGATGACGGTGACTCGAGGGCATTGTTGAAACGTGTCGAAGACGCATACAACGCAGTCGAGTGTCAGCCGCCGGGGGTCAACAAGGCTGTGCTAGACGTGTACCATGACTGGCTGGGCCTCGAGAACCCACTAGACGGAAGTGGCGGCGGTGGTGATGCAACGCTGTTGAGAACTACTTACCACGCCCTGGAAAAAACGACAAATGCGCTCAACATCCGTTGGTGACGTCATCGCTCTTACGTGCGTTGTCGCATGCATGAACGAGAGTGTTGTGTACAGACATATTTGCAAGACACGTTAGCAGGTGAACCACATTTCTAAGGCAGAACCTACTCGTTGGAATACGACAGTGCTTTCAGTTGCTGCCTGCTATTCTCTACTCGAATCACAGCGGTACGATCCTACGCTCTTGATCGAGGCCAGAGGAAGCGTGAACGAGCCAGATGTGAAGCTCCTAGCCAATTGGAGGCTGAAACGGAGAACATGTCGGGGTACGTCTGTCGCAGAAAAAGGAAGAAAACGAAACGAAAATGCTCTAAGGCATTGCCATTGAAATAGTGTTACAGCAGATGCAGCTTCTGCGGAAGCTATCGCAGCCATGTTCCTGGAATTCTACTCATGCTGACATTACTGTTCTGCTCCCAGGCTGCGGGTACGAGTGCCTCCAAGAATAGGCATGAGCAGAGTTCCCCCTTAGGGGAGGCAGAGATAGGTAGCGAAGTTTGCGACCTTGTAATTCATAAACGGAGCAATCCGAACATCTTGTCGAACAGCTCGGCTTAAAGAAAAAAATTTTTAGGGTTTTATGTTCCAAAACCACATATGATCATGAGGCATGGTGAAGTGACTCTTGGTAAGTAAAGTTTTGATCACTTGGTTTTTTAGCCCCGCCGCGGTGGTCTAGTGGCTAAGGTACTCGGCTGCTGACCCGCAGGTCGCGGGATCGAATTCTTGCTGCAGTGGCTGCATTTCCGATGGAGACGGAAGTGCTGTAGGTCCACGTGCTCAGATTTGGATACACGCTAAAGAACCCCAGGTAGTCAAAATTTCTGGAGCCCTCCACTACAGCGTCTCTCATAATCATATGGTGGTTTTGGGAGGTTAAACACCACATATCAATCAAATCAAATCACCTGGTTCTTTAACGTGCTCCTTAAACTAAAGGCTCAAGTGTCCCCATTTCATCCTGATATATAAATACTGTAAATGGGAATCAAACTAATGCCCTTGGTCATAGCAACACAAGAGTTCAGCTGCGATAACTATTTTATGCGAAATACATAGCATGTGAGTGCTTCAGTATGTCCATAGCATCACTTTTACTGAAGAACAAACTTCTTCTTGAAGGGGTACTGATGCAAAAATTTTCATTTGTCATTTTTTTGTATCCAAGGAAAGACCTTCAACTGCCTAGAAAATGTACTTGTAAGCATAATTACACTCTATAAGATCTTAGAATATGTTTTTCAAAGCTAATATTAGTTTCTATTGTATCCTAACGTCACAACATGACATGATCTTTTTGCATGCTCATGCAAGATATTATGACGTAATCGCTCCATGGCTCTTTGGGGATGCACAAGCGGCCATGTTGAGTGTATTTGGTGAAGGGCAAGTGGCCATATTGAATGCTCTGGTACCTGGTGTCGTCACAACTAATCATACTGGAGCATGGAGTCACTAGAGTCGACACTGTAACCTGACATTATGATAGTGTCAATGTTGATAGGTGTGCCATGCAAAAATCAAATTTGATGTAAAAAAAAGTCGCAGCTTTGCCACAAAGGCGATGCAATGAACGTGATAGCAACAAATTGGAAGGTCACGTGCAGAATGGCAAGCAGATTGAAACATGCCCCGCGTTTCTCACGCACGAAACATACTCACACGTACAAATGAACGCAAATAAGCATCTTGGTTGTTACTTCGCCTTGTCTAAAAAAGTGCGCTGTTTTCGCAAACGTAGACTGTGAAAGGATTGCAGTGACCTTTGTGCACCCGGTAATTTAAACAGAATCTTTCCAGCTAAAGCCCAAGGTGTATGATTGTCCCCACTGCGAGATAAGCATGGGCACACATGGGAGATAAAATACACATGGGAGATAAAAGCGCGCGCTGCTGCGTCATGACAATGTGGCAACGCGCACTCTTTGCGCCATATCGCTGGTAACGCCGAAAACATGATAGTTCCCCTCGAGATCACCACCACCAGTGGTAAGTGGTAGATTTAAATAGCTTGCCGTTCGAACATTGAAGAATGTGCTCCTTCGTGGCTTAGCGGCTAACGTCTCGCACTCACGATTCAGAGATCCGAATTTCGATTCTGCGCGCCGGAGTCTGTTCCTGGATTATTTTTCTTTCTTGCATTTTTATATATATATAAGTACCGCTTCATCTACGCCACAGTACCAGGTCACAACTCATCACACGGGTTCCGCTTGCCTGGGAACGTCGTTGACGCTTCCAGCGCCCTGGAACCCATGTCCACGAATCCGACCACAGCTGGATTTCCAAGGGACGCCGTCCACGCGTCCTTGGTCAGGAATTGTACCACCTCGAATACCGCAGTCACTGTATCCTCCGCAGAGGCGGGCCTTGGCTTTTCGTGCGGATCACACGACAGCGCAGCGGAGCTGCAGCATACCATCGCGCAACTCCGTGTCACGACCAACGCCCTCATAGCGTCGAGTTCCAAGCTATGTCCTGCCATCTTGCCAACATTGTGCGCACTCAATGCCATGTTGGCTGCGGCCGCCGCACAAAACTTCGAGGTAAGCTCGCCCGAGAACCGTCGCAATCTCCGGCGTTCTCTCGCGGAGGTATCGGAGCAAGTGAACTCCTTGGCGGGGGCACATTTCGGAGTTCTGCCCGCCGTCCCGCCATCGCCGATTTCCTTCGCGCTACCGGAATTTCGCGGCTTCCAGGACGACGCCGAGGAATGGGTGGCAACCGTCAACGCTCTCGGAACGACTGAAGAGCACAAGAGGGACATGGCCATAGATCGCCTGCGGGATGCTGCCGCAGCATGGCACAGGTACGAAGGCGTCAGGCAGCAGTCCTGGGCAGAATGGAGTGCAGCCCTGATTGCCGCTTTCGGACGGATTTCCTGTGACTCCAGCAAGTCCAGCTCGATCTTTCCCGAGGCCGAGGATGGAGCCCAGGCAGCGCCCCGCCTCGAGGCTGCAATCGTTCGTTGCAGCTCGTCAACGGAATGCTGCCAGGAGTTCCCTGCTGCTGACCCTGACCGAAGTGGCTGGAATCCTACACTACAGGTCCCGGACTCTGCATCGGTATTCGACCTGAAAATACCGCCACCAGACCTTCGTCCGGAGATACGGCCCTCGCGCTCGTCGTCTGAGGACATCGAGGCACTCAATCCTATTGTATTAGACACAACTGAACCCTACCAGACCACGATCATGCTCAGCCACGCAGACACTCGGCTACCAAGGAACGTTTCCTTCGAGAAAGCCCAGATACCTAGCTACGCTGAGGCCACTGCCATCGAGAACTTGCCGAGGACCAGCCCTCCTGCTGTTTCCTCCCAGCATACGATGTTTGCACATGACAGTTCGCCAGAAGCCACCGGCTCGACTACGTCTGGGAGTTCTGCTGTGGTATTTATGCCCAACCATGAGCTGCGTCCCATCTCATTTCAAGAAATGGCCCAAACGTCATCATGGCTGCCTCGCAGGGCATCCCGCTGCAGTTCAGTCCACCAGCGACGGTGGGACAAACACCAGCGTTTCCAGGTTACTCTGCGACCTTGCCGGAACAGTCAGGGCCGTCCACCTGAACTGCATTCTACGAGTTGTCAGGAAACGTTGCATCATGGACGAGTTCGACCACGGCGACAAAGTCAAGCCCACCCACCAAAAACTTTACCGCCAGCTCCGCGCTCGCACAGGACCCAGTCTCCATCACGACACGGTGAACGACCCAGACGACATAGCCAGTGTCGGCCGCCGGAGCCAATTTCGACAAACTTCCAGCGTGGTCGAGACCGACCACGACGATGTAGCCAACCTCGCCCACCTGAAGCACTGTCAACTGCTGCAGCTAGCCTTACCTACCAGAACATTGTCGTTTGGCCCAACGACAATGCTAGCAGTCATGGCCGAGTGTAATGACGAAAACCGAAACTGGAACTCTCTCTGGCACAGACTCGCATGCTAGGAAGGAAGAGGAGGAAGACGAAGCAGAATAAGAACAGCCGGCCTGCAGCAAAGGCGTTGTGTCTTATTTCTCGTCGTTACAATAGATACATATACAGTGAATTAAGGCGACGTCGATGCCAATGCTGGCGGCAATATTCAACCGAGAGTGTTCATATAATTGCTATGGCAATAAGAAAATATCAGCATTTACCGAGTGTCACGCTTGTTCAGATAGACGATTTTCGGCTGCTACACACGAGTGTTATCATGTTAGATCACGCGACCATAACTAGCCTTCTCCCAGTCAGTTGCCGCAGCCAACGTATTGGGCCAGTGAAGTGGCCGTGGCCGCAGCTGGTGGCTAGAGGCCAACATGGCAGCACCCACACAGACGTGACCGCCCACTTTGATCCAAACTCATGTTTGCTACGTGCCTACTGTCGTCGCAGCAAAAATAAATGGTGGAATCAGCTTCGTTTCGTCTCACATTGGGGACAAAGCATCAGGTATGTTTTGTTTTTATTAAGGAAATCACCTGTGTATATTTAGTCATGCTTGCTAAGCCTAATCTCGGAGAATTTGAGAATGAGTCTTGAAAACACTACAAAATACCAATGAATACATCGCTCTCGAAGCTTCAGGGAGGTAAATATAAAGCAAATAAATGCATGTGTTGTGAGCTTACGACCAACACAGCGCAGGGCGATGACATGGTAAAATCAAGGCGGAAAAAAACTGCACCCACAGGTGCCCCCATGGCATCTGTACAAAACAGATGTTGAGCAGTGCTGCAGAAGGCTGTGGCAGAAAAACGGCCACAGTGTTGTGGCGCCATCTGGTTTTGACTGAGTAAACCATCTGCGAAAAATCGCCTATATAGAAGATTTGTATGGCAGACTATACTCGCCTTTGAAAACTGTTATCAGTACTCCTTTAAGAAAGAAGATACTGTTACGGGGATTACAAACACACGGAAGAAAGAAATGAGTGTATTTCCAATATTTACAAAGAGGTGAGAACCACCAGGGCTGCCAGCCTTTTGCGCGCTCAGTCCGCTTCTTCCTCTTCGATTTCTCTACGACGGTGGGGCCATGCCCACTGCCTCGTAACATCACCCTCGGCTGACGAAGTGCCTTCACGGCGCTGCTAAGTCGATCAGGACTGGCAGTATAGTACCGTGTTAGTCGTGACACATGAACAACATCAGTAGGTGGTGTGGTAGAAGACAAGTGAGGTTGAACGGGAGTGGTGAGGTAGTCGACGTCGGTGACCTTGCGGAGAACTTTGTAGGGCCCTGTGTATCAAGGGAGGAGCTTCTCGCACAAGCCTTCATGTCAATGCGGCGTCCAAAGTAGTACGAGAGAGTCTGCAGGGTAGTCAACGTCACGGTGCCAGTCATCGCAGCGGACTTTTTGTGAGGCCTGAGAAGCAGTGAGTCTAGTGTGCGCGATTTGGCGAGCAACGCAGGCTCGAGAAGCAACGTCCTGAACATACACCGTTGGTTTGGTAGTATCAGAAGGAAGGATTGTGTCGAATGGCAACGCAGGGTTGCGGCTGTACAGAAGAAAGAAAGGAGAATAACCGGCGGTGTCATGCCTTGA